AGATTTGGAGTCAGTTTGGAGACCTGCTTCTCAAGTCCCTGTTGTGACCCCTTGGGTTCAATGAGTTCTCTGACTGGAGCCTTGCTGACTTCCCTGGCAGCATTTACCCTTTCTCCTGTCGCATGCAAGCTGTTTTTCTAATGAATCCACTCTATTCTTTAGGTCCAGACAGAAATGACCCACTAAGATTATACTTTCTTTCCATTCTTAACATTTTTGCAACTAAAACCTTTTGAAGTCTCTTTTGGTTTCTGAATGCTTCAAGGTCTCCGGGTTTTATCCTCTTGCCTCAGAGATATTTCTGTTCCCAGGGTAGACATTACAGTACTTCATATTGACTTGCCATGGTTACCCAGTGGCTCCTCTGCATAGCAGTGAGTTGGAAACAGTAGCTTATCATCCACGTCAAAAAGCTTGTGACAGCCAATTTTGTGTTTCTTTGAATATCGAAAGCCTAAACCAGGCATGTTGACATGTGCCTGTAATCTCAGCACTTGGGAGACGGTGGCAAGATGATCAGGAGTTCAGTGCCAGCTCAAAGCTGCTCAAACCCATCTCAAAACAAACAGCAGGGGTTGAAGAGGTGGCTGATCGGTTAAGAGCAGTTGTTCTTGCAGAGGACCAAGTTGGGTTCCTCGCAGTTACATGGCAGCTCACAACCATCTGTCACTCCAGATCTAGAGGGATCTGATGCCCTCTTCTGACCTCTGTGGGCACCAGGCACACACATGGTGTGCATACATACATACATGCAGACAGAACATTCATATACATAAAATTAAATAAATTTTTAAAAAAGTATTTAAAAACAAAAATTTGAAGACCTCAACAGAACTAGGAAAAAGCTACAGGCCCAGTCTGTCTATATTGGAGTGTTTCTTTCCTTGCAGATATTAGCTACTATCTGAAGAGCTATCAAGAAAACAAATCATTGACTACATACCTTTTGCCTTCTCTGTATCCAAGTCTTCTGTGGAGGGCTAAGGATGTAGCTCAGTTGATAGAGTGCTTGTCTAGCATTCACAAAGCCATGGTTCAGTCCCACACTACATAGAACAGATTGTGCTGAGGCACACCTCGAATCCCTAGCACTCAAGAGGTGGAGACAGAATTAGAAGCTCAAGGCCACTCTTGCTTACTTAGCAAGTTTGAAGCTAGCCTGGGCTACATGAAACCCTGCCTCCAAAAGAAAACAAAAACCAAATCTGTGGCAATTACTGCCCATACTATCTAGGGAAATGACAGTTTTGTCCTGCCCTTTGCTGAGCACCCATGCAGCTCTGAAAGGGGTGTCGAGTGGGGGTGTGTGGGTGTTTAGTCCCTGTGCTGGGCAGACACATCTTTGGTTGGCTTGGTTTATCAGATGTGTATCTGCAGGCATCAAGGTTTGAGACCATTGTGTGTAGGCCTTTCCTTTGCTCTCAGGATATTCTGGGGCCTGGGCCTGATATTATTAGGTAGCCTTAGGAAGGTTTCATGCCACTCATTTTGAAGATAGTCTCCAAATTTGAATTTCTTTTTCCTTTGAAGGCACCAATAGCCAATTCTTCATTTTCCATTTGTATGGTAAGTTCTAATTCTTTGGCTCTTCTTCTGAGTTTACCTACAATCGCCCTTTTATAAACAAGCTTTATTTTGAGTTTTGCTATTTTTGGCAAACCCATCCCTTTTCCCTGCTCTGAGTTACAGTTAAGAAAACAGCTTTAACATTTTCCTTTTCCTCAACTTCATTAGGCTGTCTTATTCAACAGAGATTATTGCTCCCTCTCTGTCTTTGTGGATTGCTTTACATGCCACCTCATTGATGGGTCAGTGTCTTGCCAGGGCTCCAGGCAAGGCTTTTCTAGTCCAGTCCCAGGACTAGACTTTTCTAGCTGCCCTCCCACTGTCCTTCTAAAGTGAAAAGTTTTTTAAATGTTTTTAAAAACCTGTGGGTTCTGAAATATACCTCCTAGTTAACAAACTGGGCAGCTCATGATCTCAGCCTTTGTATGTTAGTATTTATTTAAGCAGTGAATTGACCCTGGCTGACCATTCTCCTTCACTTATTCCCCTCTTCCTCCTCCCAAGCTCCCCCACACACACACATACCATTTTCTTCCTCTTTCAATTCTCAGACATACCTATCACTGGACCACAGTGTGTGATAGTAGTACTGGCATCCTTCAGCTGTTCTGTGGGGTTTTTTTAAACTGGGGAGGGGATCTGGGATGGATAGGAGTCACTATTCTTAATATTTAAAATATTTATTTCCTCTGTGGGAAAGAAAATGTGTTTTATGGTCCAAGTAGTAAATTTACAAGTTAATTTTTGTAATATAACTTGCTTGCAGACCAAACCAAGGACCAGCTGTGCATTTCTTTTATGGCACCATTAACAGGATTTAGTCTTTCTGTGATGATCAGCAATGGTGTTAATGCTGAATGTTCTCCTACCTCACATCATGAGAATCAGAAGGCTGCTGGCCTTCCCTGACTTCCCTTCTTTCTGTTGGCCTTTCTGACTCTGGAATGATCACTCCACTGAATAGAGTATTCTAACCACTGTCCTGACTATAACCATTTGCTAATTTCTGCAAATATTGGAGTGATTGCTATGTGTCAGAAATGTCAGCTGTATGTTCTCCCCTGCCACCTCATGGTGATTTACTGGTGTTGGGAAGTGAACCATGGGCTGTTGTTAACACTGTTTGCATTTGACCATACATGTGTGTAGTCACAACTCTACATTGTGTAGAGTTACCTTTCATTATAGAGCTATCCTGCTTAAAATTGGCCCAAGACTTTCCTGTGAACCCCGGTTGTCTTCCTGTAGCTTTGATAATATTTGGGAGATTCTCTTGTGTATACCTCATGAATTATCCTTTTTTTTTTTTGCTACAGATTTCTTCATCTCTTCGGTGGGTTGAGGGTCCACTGACTGAGAGTTGCACAGTAGAGCACTAAATGTTTAAGCAAAGCTTTTGCTGCAGTCTGCTTTCCAATCCAGTGCCTTCTTTATCTTTTTACTGAGCTGCTTTTGTCCCCCGTCCTCCTTGTTGGAAAGGTTTTGTTTTTACCCTTCTGGGACCTATCACCATCTCCCTTACAATTTGGAATTTTTCTTTTCTTCAACAATCCTTGCGGCTAATTCTGTCTCAGGAGAGGTGGAAGGGTTGGAAAGGGTGAGGACCCGATTCTCAGTCTGGTCTTGTAGGAGCTGGTCAGGAACTGAGGCTGGATTCTGTCCACATAAGCCTTCCCAGAGCAGGCAGCTTATCATAGGTACCAGAGCCTCACTGCCAACACTGTCGTCATCTGGCACTTGAAGCTTCAAAATTCAGCAGAAGTACTCTAGCACCACACACAGCATCTGGATCCAACTGTGATCGCAGTCTCTCTCTCTCTCTCTCTCTCTCTCTCTCTC